GATAAGAGTGTCTGCTAAATGACCAAATTGTAAATGTATATATGAAAATGAACTGCAAAGCACACTGGGTATTATTATTGGCCTTGTTTCAGGGCGGAGCTCAGCATGCTTTGCAATTGTTCATTTCTACATATACATTTATATTTAGTTAGTTTAGCAGACGCTCTTATCACACGATAGTGCTATCAGACTTTTGATACCAATACAGGGTGAAAGAGGGGGTCACAAAATGTGAACAACTATTTTTTTTAAATGGTATAGAAAAAAAATGGTATTTTGAAAATACAAATTACAGTATTTTGACAATACAAATTACAGTATTTTGAAAATATCACTACACACACACACACACACACACACACACACACACAGCTTATACAGTGCCTAGTGAAAGTCTACACACCCCTTGCACAGTCTTAATTAGATCGTAAAAGGGAAGAAAGGCGATTTTTTTTCTCGATTGATGTACACAACCTACTTCACATTTTCAATGTGAAATAAAAATTATAGAACATTTTCCATATTTTGATTGCGTACACTGTGAATTTGACAGTAGCTCACAGGTATCTCAACGGCAAGTAAATGTCTGTATTTCATATTACAGTACACTTACTGTAATATCATACGGTATTAAAGAAAGTACTGTGTAATGACACACAGTACAATACCGTACCAAATAGGTGAAGTATTTAGACATTACAATATATATTAATGAATATTCAGTGTTTTATATCACTTGCACTTCTAGAGGCCTTCCAGAGTGGCAGTAACTACAGGACACACCATAATGGCTTTCCTAGGTGTTGAGTGTTCCTGAATGGTCTAATCTCAGTCCTGATTTAAATCTACTTGAAAATCTGGGTTTGAATATTGAATATTGCTGTCATGACTCCCAAACAAATGTAATGAGCTTGAGCAATTTTGACAAAAACAATGGATAAATGTTGCCCTAAAGAGTTGTGCAAATTTGGTAAAATCGTATTCAAAATGATTCAGCTCTGTAATGGCTGCCAAAGGTGCTTCCACCAAGTATTAACTCTGGGGTGTGAAGACATATGCAATCAAGACCTCTTTCATTATCTTATTTGTAATTAATTTGGAGATGTTTTATACTTTTTCTCTCACTTTGAAAATGTGGAGTAGGTTGTGTAAATCAACAAAAAAAAATCTAATTCATTCCCTTTTTAGATTGAATTTTAAAGGCAGCAAAATGTGAAGACCGTGCAAGGGGTGTGTAGACTTTCACTAGCGACTGAATGTTAACTCTTAGACGTTAAGTCCCCTATATAAGGGACTTTGAGCGGTTCTGGACTGGTTCCAACCGATATTTCTGTGTACAGCACGCTCTTTGAACGGCACAACATCAATTGCCTTAAACTACCTAAAAGTGCTGCTTGTCCCAATACTTATGCGCTAATGCAATCGGATATTTGCATAGGGAGCGACACATTTTCTGGCCTATCCGGACAAAGGAACGATTTCCTGTACTTGTGAAGTCTAGCAGATGCAACAATAGTAGTTTAATCTCGCAGTGATGTTCTCAGGGGGATTTATAGCTCTCAACAGATTTACTTTTCAAATAAATGTATGGAATTGAAAGACAGATGGACGAAATCGTGCTTAAGGTTGTAACCAGTCTGCACACATTTGAATGCTGTCTCTGTACCGCTCAGTGGACTTTTAGGAGAAAAGTCTCTGTCGTCAGTTATATGAAATAATGCCAATATTGTGCTGTCACTAAGTATGATCATATTATTTTACAGTTATAAGAAAGGTGAAATCGTATAGTAAGTCATTTATAATTTTATTGTTACTATATTTAGAAAGCATTTAAATCAGTTCAAGCCCTATTGCCCCACTTTTGTTGAATAGGAAAAATTATCTGATATGCTTTTTCATATTTTCATAATATTTGTACAATGTACTTGAGCTTGTGTCCTCAAAAGTGAGTACACCTCAGCAATTTATAACTATTTTGACCAGAAAGGTGAGTTCCAGATCTTTCTAAAACTATGCAACATTACCAGTTGTTGTTTATGGCCATCTAATGGAAAATAATTACATTTTGGCATGTCTTTTTTACCCCCTTTTTCATGATTACGATCTTGTCTCATCACTGCAACTCACCTCAGGAGAGGCAAAGGTCGAGTCATGCGTCCTCCGAAACATGACCCGCTAAGCCATGCTTCTTAACAACCGCTTGCTTAACCCATAAGGCAGCTGCACCAATGTGTCAGAGAAAACACTGTTCAACATACGACCAAAGTCAGCCTGCAGGTGCCCAGCCTGCCACATGGAGTTGCTAGAGCACAATGAGCCAAGTAAAGCCCCGCCGGCCAAACCCTCCTCTAACCCGGACGACGCTGGGCCAATACGACATGCACCACCCTATGGGGCTCCCAGTCACGGCCGGTTGTGACATAGCCCGGGATCGAACCCCAGGCTGTAGTGATGGCGCAACACTGCGATGCAGTGCCTTAGACCGCTGCGCCACTCGGGAGGCCACATTTGGGTATGTCTATTTGGCGAAAATCTAAATTTTGCCGTATCATTCAAGAGGGTTTACACCTATCCAGGCGATCTGAGATCTGGCATACGTCTGCAATGTAGTCAGCCTGGAATGTGACCATAGTTTAGGATCATGGCGGAGTCTTCTCTCTAGCATTTTAGATATTGATCTCCATTCTATGTATACTATGATAGATATCAATAGGGCTATTATAGCATAGTGATTGACTGTTGTTTATTGAGAATAGCTCTTTACAATGGTCTGAGGTGATACTAAAGAACTGTAATGACAGTGGTTCCATCCCAAATGGCACCATATTCCCTATATAGTGCACTACTTTTGATCAGAGCCCTATGGGTCCTATATAGGGCACTATATAGGGAATAGGGTACCATTTGGGACACAGATTTATTCAGTTGATGTGTTTACCTACAACCAGAACACAATGCCAATTTCTCGGTTGATTAAAACCCATAAATAAAACCGTAGTCTAAATTGTGAGGATTATTATTTTCTAGCTAAAGAGAGAAAACAGGCGTTTGGTGAAAAATAATGACATACATTTTGACACTGACAAACAAACTCCCTCTGCCTGTATTATTTCAGTAAAACTAATTTACTCCTGGCCTAGATTTCCAATTTCTTCATCATTCTATTTTGACGGAAACAGACTTCCTGAATAACATAATGCATTATAATAACAACGTAACGTAATCACAGAGAGAAGGAGAGAAAGAGACAGAGAGAGAAATAGACAGAGGGAGAGACAGAGGGAGCGGGAGAGAGAGAGAGAGAAGGAGAGAGAGAGAGAGAGAGAGAGACAGAGAAGGAGAGAGAGAGAGAGAGAGAGAGAAATAGACAGAGGGAGAGACAGAGGGAGCGGGAGAGAGAGAGAGAGAAGGAGAGAGAGAGAGAGAGACAGAGAAGGAGAGAGAGAGAGAGAGAGAGACAGAGAAGGAGAGAGAGAGATACGAGAGAGCGAGAGTGACGTACATAACACAGCTTGTTGTTCTGTTATGGAGGATTATATTCACACACACACACACACACACACACACACACACACACACACACACACACACACACACACACACACACACACACACACACACACAGGGCCTCAGGCCTACTGGGTAGCATGTGTTCATTAAAGCAGACCTGTTCCACTGGGCCTCTCCAGGATAACACAACCCCCTTTGAGGTCGTGGTGATTGCAGGCAGGCAGGCTCTGGCATTTGGTCGGACACAATAAACATGTTCCTGATGGTAATCAGTCCCACAGGGGGTGATCAGTCAGCGGATGGATGGAGACCGTGGAGGGATAGAGGTCCTGTGGTCTTCATAGACCCCCAGTCCAATCCTGTCAATATCAATGAGTTTTAGAGTGTATTAAAAGAGATCGCACTGTATCGAAATACATTCAGATCAAGTTTTTGTCGCCTTCTCTCGTTCCTTCTTTCCCTCTACCCTAATGTGAATGTGTATTCCTCTTATTCCACTCTCCTCTTTCACTCTCTCACCCCTTTTTACCCATTCCCCTCTCTCCCGTATTCCTCGGTCTCCACTCCTCACTGCACCAGTCCCTGTGTGCCCCTCTTTCGCCCCATGTTCCATCCATCCAAGAATGAGTAATCGGGTTTGCTTCACCGTGGTAACCACGCTCTATTTTAAGGAGGCGATACATAATTAAGACAGACTGGACCTGGAGGGAGAGAGTCACAGGAGAGAGAGAGGATGTGTGTGCGTGTGTGTGTGCGTGTGTGTGTGTGTGTTTGTGTGTGTGTGCATGTGCGCTTATGTGTGTCCTGTTTGAAAAAACGATTCAAATTTCTACACATTCACTTCATTGCATGTGTTAATATTATGTTGTATGTCCGATGTTTGTATGCCGTTGTAATGATATCATTTATCGTAGAAGAAGGTAAGCTATTTACTTTTCATAGGTTGCATAACACCAAAATGCATGTGGAGTTAATATTCGAGGACCTACAAACGCGCACACACACGCGCACACACACACACACACACACACACACACACACATACACATTCACTCACACACACACACAGGTGTGAAGGTGCTGAAGGATATCCCACCTGCTTGGTGCCTGCAGGTGATGGCTAATGAGCTCACCCTTCAGATTCCTCTGCAGGAGAGCTATGTGTGTGTTTGTGTGTGTTTGTGTGTGTTTGTGTGTGTGCACACGTGTCTGCGTGTTAATCTCTCTCCTCCACTCCCTTCACACACATCTCCCCACTACTTATATGGATCAGAGTCCTTTTTCTCCACTTTGTCGTGCGAATCAAAATATATTCCAAGGACACTCACAGCTTCTGACACAATGTGCTTGTTGATTAGATATGAGCTGGTCCTGAAGCGATTGAAGATTGAAGCGATTGAAGATGCATGAGGCTCTCTCTCATGCATATCCCACCCCCCTTCTCTCTCTCTGTCTCTCTCTCTCCCACTCCCTCTCCATCTTACTGCAGGATCTCCACTGACTCGCATTCTCCCAAGCTGCAGATCCGGAGCCACAGCTACCTGCGGGCGGTGAGTGAGGTTTCCATCAATAGAAGCCTGGACAGCTTGGACCCAGCAGGGCTGCTGGCCTCGCCCAAATTCCGCTCGCGAAACGAGAGCTACATGAGAGCCATGAGCACCATCAGCCAGGTTGGTGCCCCTAGGGGCGCATACCTCCCCCCTGTCCCATCCCCTAACTGTCTCCTGTCTTTACTTACTCCCAACGGTAGCAGAGGGGAGGAAACAACCCAAATCAACCATTGAAAAAGCCCAAATCAAGTCCAAACCAACCCCAAACCAAAACCAATCCAACCCCAAACCAGCCCCAAATCAATCATCAAACAACCATCCAGCAACCATCCCATCTGAGCGGCTAATTAAACCAAACCATCTCCAAACATTTGGGTGTTGTTTTCTTCAGGTCTGATGATCAGAGTGAAATTCAAAGCACTAATTAGACTAGAGGAAATACAGCCCGCCCTTTCCCTGATCCCCCATCATCCTGTCTGTCTGTCTGTAGACTCCAATGACATACATAGAGAAATATTCCAATTAGGCTTTCTCATTAGAGCTGAAACAGGACTGCTTTCATTTTCAACAGCCAGGACTGCACATGGACTGCAGGATTGTCCGGAGTACTGGAGGCTGGTAATGGGAGAATGGCTCATTGTAATGGCTGGATGGAATAAACAGAATGGTACCAAACATATGGAAGCCATGTGTTTGATGTGTTTGATACCGTTCCATTCACTTAATTCTAGCCACCACTGGTCCTTAGCAGATCAGCTAATTCCTATTGCTCTGTATCGTGTAATACAACATACATTGTTTCCTGCTAGCATACAATACAACAGTACAACAGATGGTTAATTCTCATAGCACACCTTGGAAAACGAGCATGATGTATGTCTCTCGCCACAGTAATGCTTCACAGACGTTGTTTAAAAGCAATTACAGCTGTGTACACCGGTGGCACGCTTGATAAAGTAGGCCTTATGCATTTGCTCATATATCCTTGTGTTACAGAGCTAAGCAAACAAGTATTCTGAAACACCCAAAGTGGTTCTTCAATCTGAATATTTGTGATTTAAGAGAGCGTTGTGAAAACACTTTGTGGGGTTTCAGTGCATGTCAAACGCTCCATCAAATCACACACAAAAACATTTTTATTTGCAGACTCTCTCATACAATTGTCAAGGCTGAGCATAGATGTGGTGCAGAAATCAAGCGCAGGACAACAGAGGCTCTTCAACAGTCTTTAGTGAGGATCAAACAATACAAAAAGACTCACGGCAAAATCCCAGCCGGAGGGCAAGCGAAACAATTACGCACACAGGAAACAGTGCGTAACCCAAACTGCGCACACAGTTCGGACACTCTCTCCAAACAAAACAGAACGAGAGAGAACAAACTGACGCCTAGCTGACACGAAACAATTACACACAACACATGACAAAACCTAAGAGAACTTATAGGGCACATAATCAACACTAACAAAGAACAGGTGTACAAACAGACCAAACCAAACGAACATCGAAACATAGAACGGTGGCAGCTAGTACTCCGGAGACGACGACCGCCGAACAAGGAGGAGAAGCAGCCTCGGCCGAAACCGTGACAACAATTCAATGATTAAGAAATGCAAATTATTTATAGCCTAAATATTGATTGATAATAAGGGCCTGTGGAGAATATTCTTTGTGGAATTCCACCTTCGTTTTTTCAATGCTTTATTTGGACAGATTAGAAACAGAGAAGGACTGAAAGTGGGACAGGTGGAAGCAGGAATTGAACCCCTGACCTCTTGGGTAGTAAGATGGTACATTTCATTGGAATTTCATTGAAATGTTACACACTCAACCACACAGCCACACTGTATTTTTTTTTAAAGATTCTGGGGTGAATTGAAATGGACAAAAAACAACAACATGTACTTAATCAAAATGAATGCAAGGTAATTTAAATGATTTGTTAATTTCACTTTATAAAAAAATGTAAGAATAAATCCAACTTAATATGTTGCTCAAAATGTAAGTATATTTTATGAAGGTAACCAAAAATTTAAAATTGAGTGATTGAACTCATTGGGAGTCTGGTTTTAATCTCCTTGCACTTCCTATCTTGCCACGTGGCTCTGTTTTTAAAGGATTATGGGTAATTATAATGTTTTACACAATGTTGTGTGCATGTTTGAAGAAAGACAAGTATACTTCTATATTAATATTAAGCAGTTTGTTGCACCATGAGATGTAATGGATCATGATGAACAGATATCAAAACCGTCAGGAAAATGACGTTCAATGATGAGATGACCCATTCCCACATTTCCAATTTCTGATGGTAGCGGCAAATACAGTATCCTGCAATGCTTGTTCTAAAACCTCTAGTTAATGTTGGTGGATTGAGCACTGTGCTCAGCAATGCCTGCCAAAATGGGTTAAACTGGCAAATTATCAGATACATAAATCAATTTTAAACATTCAAATATTCCAGAAACACCATAATAGTATTAAGAAGCTTAGAGAGAGGAAACAACACCAAAAGAGAAGGTATCTAATTCTGCACTAAACAGAACTCGAAACACCAAAACAATGTTTTCAACCTTTTCCAGTAGGGATCCCAGTCCCTGGCAAGTTGTTACTCAACACTTGATTAAGTGGTGTTACAACACACCATGTAATGTTTCAAAACATTTCAGGATGAGGTGTTTCAATACTCCAGCAAAGTTAAGGTTTCGTCTCCTTCAAGTTGGTGGCTCAGTTGCCACTAGTTTTGGTGTTACAAAGCACTTAATTCTAACAATGTATCCCAGAAATAAGATGTTACAGTGTGTGTGATGGAGAGTGAGTACTGGTCCTGTCCTCACTTATTTGGAGTGACAGGAGGATGGGGGCATCTCTGGCTGGAGCTCCAGCGATGTGGCCCTCCAGGGGCCTCCAGGGGCCCACAGGGAGAGGCACAGAGCCCTCGGGCATCCTAGCCTCCCTCCCTGCTCCAGCCTCTCCAGATCCAGCCCAGCTCATACACGCACACGCGCACACGCACACACACACACACACACTAGGGATGTTAACGGTTAATTGGTTAGCTGCCGAAAATTCATTTGACCTGTCATGCTTATCAGGCTATAGGTTAATTTGCATAATTTTGTGGAATGAAATTGGCATGTGGGTATTTTCGTTAGTCGTCATGCATTTGATTTATCACACGCTCACAGCAACAGAGCCTAGTTTGAGAAGCAGAATAGCCTACCACCTGTCAGATATTGCGAGAGCAGATCCTCAAAAAGCCTGTAGGCTACTGGAGTGAAACCTGCTTTTGTAAGCCCAGTCATTGCGCAACAAATTCTAAATGTAATCGTGTGTTAAAAACTTTGGTGGCCATGATTAGAAAGGAGCTTTGCAATGTGAGTTTGAGGCAGTATAACGGTAGCTAACACACTTTTGTACATTGCACTGTTCCATACATTTGACCTTATTTTAGCGCACCAAAAATGTAATACTTCCAGGTCAACTGTAATATGAATACCATTGTAAAGCACAATTTCTCCCCTTTCCAGGAAAATCAATGATGAGACCTTCATGCTGCTCGTCACTGTATGATTGAAGAAAGCAATGGAGCTCCGCCGGGTCTTTTTAAAATGGCGGGTGGGGAAGCGAAAGCTACTGCGTCATAGTGAAAGGGGGAGATATGTCGTGTGGGGAACCAGCTTTTTTCACCCGATTTGTCCAACTTATCACCTCTAAAATGTAAATAAAACACTATAAAGAGTTTATATAATGTCTCATTACATACCTATTTGAAGGTTTGTGTCGAATTTGAATACGATCTCTAGGGCGGCGCTAAATTTATCTTCACAATTAAACTGTGGGTGTCACGGTTTTTGAGAGTCATGATGGCTCGCAGTGATTATGCAAAACATTTACAATTGATTGAATTAACTATTGATGCACTCACGAGTAATTAACTTTACACTCACCATTGATAATTTCTTGTTTTTAATCTGCGAGAGAAGAGCTACACCTGGTGGAAAGAGGCTGTACGGCACAGAATGTCCACTTTAATGTACAGCGTCTGGGGGGTCAGTTTTTTCAACTTTTCTCCAATACTGTTGGACCATTACCATGTCAATCAACGCTGAATCGAAACTTAGTTCACACCCTAGATTTTGATGCCAACACAGTCGCTACAGTCCCATTAGTTTTCATTGCAGCCTCGTTTGAATGCCGCGGTTGCCCACATATGTACGGAACGGAGTTAGCTACCGTTAATTGTTTGAAACCTGAACGTTTTACTTTACTTCAAATAATGAGGCATGTCTTACCTTGCTTCAAAGTAGCCTTGCGAAAATCCATCCATAGAAACGTGGAGGCAATTATTTTATATAGACTTCCTCATGCCATTAACCAGCATTTCTCTCCTGTCCTATAGGTTTTCATATTAACTTTATTTCGTTGTTGAGAAGCCAAAGGCACAATCCTAGTCATATTAGCAACCCATCATAGTAGTTGCTATTATATTCCCCCCCTTTCTAAGTTTCTAACAGAGATTTTCATCTCTGTCACATATGGAACTGCTCGCATGAGGTGCGCAGTTTATAACTGTTTTCCGCTAATTGCATTTGGGCAAATGTTTGAAAATGACGTTTCATTAGCTGCTTCATTACAGGTGTTGCATGTTTCAATTAAGCTCAATTAAGCTCTTAATGAAAAATGTTCGGTCCTTGTATGCATGCATAGTATCAGAGAGGAAGAGGCGAAGCGAGAGGTTTCACTGGGCTTATTTTGGGCCTAAGCTTGTCGCCTGCCTTCTCGCCTTGGGACGACTCCCATTGTTAGGGCAGAAACATAAGCAACTCATCATTATATACAGATCTCTGATAGTATTTTCTGTTGGTCACATCATTTTACTGTTATGAAAAAATTTAACTGTTTGTTGACCGGTTAATGAGGGTCAGTTATTCGGCAGCAAAATTTACCGAAATGTGCATCTTTAACACACACAGTATTGTTTAACTAACCTTGTGGGGACACACTCAAAATCCTAATTTCCCTAACCTTACCCTAACCCAAACCCTTACCCTAACCCTCACCCTAACCTTAACCCCAAAACCTAACCTTAATCATAAACCTAACCCTAACTGCTAAACTTAACCTTTAACCCTTAATCCTAATTTTAACCCTTACACTAATTCTAACCTTAACCCTAAACCCCCAGAAATAGCCTTTTTCCTTGTGGGGGCCGACAAAATGTCCCCAGTTGGTCCCCAACATTTTTTTTACCATGTCCACACACACACACACACACACAAAAACATGTCTACACACACACACACACACACACACACACACACACACACACACACACACACACACACAGGCCTTTAGTGTGAGGCAGGCAGCATGGGAACCAACTGTCAGCCACAGTGACTTCTACAAAAAGCCCAGCCAGACTGCAGCATACGGGAAGAGAATGGGAAAGCACTCAGGCTCCTGTGTCTGTGTCTGTCTGTGTGTGTGTGTGTGTGTGCGCGCACTGTAAAAAAAAGGGGAAAAAAAGATGTTGCAATAGGATTGGGACTTTGCTCAACAAAATAGCATTAAAGTTGATTCAACGTAAAATTGTAAGGCAACAGCTGTAATATTATTGTGAGTTTGCTCAACATTTTGGCTTATAGCTGAACAAACATTCTCAAGTTGAATTGTGTGTTCACTCAACTTTGAACTTTAGGTTGAGTGAACATACAATTCAACCTGAAAATGTATTCTACCTTATTTGCTTATTTCCCAGTGTACCTTGCCTTTATAGTGAATTGTAGATACCACACATGACTGTATTTGTTAGTGACAGACACATGGTTGTTGTATTCAACAGCTTTCAATCATATAGCCTTCACGAAGTGAGTGTCTAAGTGAATATGTCATCTTTAATAATGTAACTCTTAATGACATTACATATTATAAGGCCTTTCTTTGTTGGCTTAGTTACACCCTAATGCAGTGGTACAAAACTCCTGGTTTACAGGTCACATCAAGCCTGCAAGTCACATTATGCTGGCTTGCAAAGTGATGTGTAATTACTATTGAAATCCAGCCAGAGTGGGGATATCCAACAATTAGAACTTTGTAGGAGACATTGAATTTTGAGACTACCCCATAAACATATTTTTACATTTTAGTAGACACACTTATCCAGAGCGACTAACAGGAGCAATTGGGGTTAAGTGCCTCACTCAAGAGCACATTGACAGATTTATTTCTTCACCTAGTCATCTTAGGGATTCAAACCAGCAACCTTTCGGTTACTGGCCCAATGCTGTTAACCGCTAGGCTACCTGACGCCCTATGAACTGCAGCAGCCATCTCAGTATCTCAGATTGGATTAATTTAGAAAAATGCATGTTGTTTGTGTAGCATAAGATAAATCAACCAACCAAAGTACATGCAAAAACACAGGTACTGAAACAAATAATTAAGAAAATCAACCTGCAATAGAGCATGCTGGGAAATATGATAATGATGGTAGTGGTTTTTAATGGTTTTGAGCAAGCATGAATTTGTAAATTTACTCAACAAGCTTGTTCAAATTCAACTCGCATAATAACGCTGACTAAGCCATTGGTTAAGTTTGCTTTTTTACAATGCAGATGCACTTGAGCATGCATGCGTATGCGTCACTGAGAGATTGTGAGTGTGTCTTAGACAGTGTGTATGTGTGGTCACACCATAGCCTTAGACTGAATGACAGAAGGCCCAGAAGACTCATAGCTCTAATAGCTCTTTTCCTATCTATGAAATTATATATTTACCACCACACAAGCTTTCTTCCTATCTATCACATTGTATATCGACCACACATGTTCTGCAGCCCTCTCTCTCCAATCACATGCCCCCAATCCAACATATTTGTCTCAAGCACCCAGGCACAGTCTTCCTCCCTCCTCTCCTTCATATCCTGCTAAACCCCCAGTCACAATTCTCCCAAGTACCCAACATCTCCCATACACCCTTTTTTTCTCCTCCTTCCATGCAAGTCTATTAGGCTAGAAGAATAACAGAATAACACCTTAGAGACTTTTGGTTTCTGTGGAGTCCTGTAGTGGACTATGAAGACAATACAACCACTACACACCCTTTCCCTTAGCTTAGTTCTCCAATGTTGCGACACTTATTTTGACGAGTTGTGAATCTTCCCTCCTGTAGACATGGAGAAACACACACACTTCCTATGTGTTTTGCCAACACACCCCTAAAGCACTGCACTTGGATGGCCCGTGAACTTTTACCCCACAACTTTCCTCCCCTCTGCACTAAGTACTTTTTCGGATTGTTTTGTACATTACTTTGTGTCTTTTGGATTCTTCAAAATCCCTGAATATACTTTAAACCCTTGTATACAAGGCTCCACTCTGGTGAAGTGTGGGGCGTCATGCTAGCGTAGGTCTCTCTAACCTGTGTTTCCCGTTTGCCCCCCCCCCCCCCCCCTTGGGCCGGTCTGTATGTGGTGTGTGCACGCGCGTGTGTGTGTGTGTGTGTGTGTGTGTGTGTGTGTGTGTGTGTGTGTGTGTGTGTGTTGCCCCCTGCAGGTGAGCGAGGTGGAGGTAAACGGGCAGATCGAGGCAGTGTGTGAGTCCGTCTTCAGTGAGATGGAGTCCCAGGCGGTGGATGCCCTGGACCTCCCAATGTCAGGCTGCTTCCGTATGCGCAGCCATAGCTACGTCCGTGCCATCGAGAAGGGTTCCTGCTCCCAAGACGAGGAGGACAGGGGCATGGTGGGGGGCAACATGAGGGCTATCTCACCCCCTCGGACCACCACCACCGTTAGGACGATCCAGAGCAGCACAGGTCAGTCACACACACACACACACACACACACACACACACACACACACACTGGACACACACTATGGGCCAAAGCGATACGGCTAAAACTTTAGCTACCTAGCAGTACAACTCCGACTCTAGGTACAACACATACAGTATTGAAACCATGCATACGTACAGTATGTGTCCATATTTGCATATGTAATATTTACAATATACAGTGGGGTCTGGAATTATTGGATCCCTTGATAAAGATGAGCAAAAAATATGCCAAAAAAATAGAGAAATTATATAATTTGATACTAATACAATTGCTCATGTATTATACATAGACATGTATATAATGTATTATGTAAGTACTACTGTACTGCTAATGTAAAGGGACATTAATTGTAAATACACTGACAGCTTAGTCCATATTGTACATCTTTAATACTGTAGAAAGCTCAGTGGTGGGCAGAGGAGTTGTGATTGCAAAGGGCTCACACGCACACACACACACACACACACACACACACACACACACACACCCCCCTGAGCCTCAGAACATCTCGTTATAAATATTAGATCCCCTCTGTGCAGAACTGTCTGTATCTCTACTGGGCCTACCTTTAAGAGATTGTTCCTGCTGATCGAAGTCTGTATTCGGCCCTTATTTCAGCGTTCTGCCTCTCGTCCAGTAAAGCATTGAACTAGAACATTAGTGAATGGGCTGCATGTAGTATTGATGTTGAGTGGTGTTGGCATTCCGAGTTTACTTCCATAAAAATTCACCATCTTCTCTGACTTGCATTGTAGCCATGCTGAGTCAGAGCTTGAGCGCATTAATCTCTCTCTCCCCCTCCCACCCTTCTCTTCCCTCTCACTCTTTCCATCTCCTTCTCCCCCGTCCCCCTCTCTCTCTCTCTCTCTCTCTTTGTTTAATTATCCCGATTAAAAGGCAGTTCTTTCTTCCACCCAGCCAACGAGGTTACAGTCAGCTAATTAAAACTATTTAGCGCAAATTGTAAGGATGGCAAAACCTGTTCAGTCAAGTTAAAGGCAATCCTCGGGATTCAGAGCAAACATTCATTTAGTGCCATTTAAAATTCTGCTCTGTTGATTCCCGTTTCCCTCCCAAGGCAGCGGAGGATAACAATGTATTTTACTCTCCCTTCTATTGAAGTCAGTGGGAAGTGTATGAGGTAAGGTCATCTGGAGATTCGCCACGTGTTTGTATAAAATAAACACACAATTATAAGGCGGTGAAGGCCGGAGGAGGCATTTGATGTTTGCGTTTCTTGTTTGGGTAATATTGATCTCTGTGAGGAGAGATTTGTGATAGAGGGCAGCGCCTCCCAGACTCTAGTAGGTTGCATCCCAAATGGCACCCTATTCCCTACATAGTGCCCTGTATTACTTTTGAGTAGTGCACTATATAGGGAATAAGGTGCCATTCGGGAACACAGAGCTCTAGTCACAGAGGAAGAGGAGGCGAGGGGGAACAGAGAATAATGGACATCATTCATCACATCAAGTGCTTTTGGCACAAACTCTACTGCTGGTGGGCTAGGCCAGACGTCTGGGCTGGTCTGGTCTGGGAGCAGGAGACAGATAAAACATTTTCAAATACAGGTGGAGATGTAATTTTGCTTGTCATGCAGACACAAACACACACACACACTTATGTGCACACACACACACACACATTTGTGTGTGCACACACACAGACATACACATTATTTAGTTTCAGTTTTAGTGTTAGGGACAGAAAGCATGCGTGGGAGGCTAGGAGCCATTGGTGTTGTATAGTTTTGTGTGTTTTTGGGGATGTCACTTCTTGCAACTGGAGGGCAGTAATACCTAAGGTGATGGGTCAGGTCATAGGTTATCTTAGGTTTTAAGTCAATCTCAATGTGACTTGGATTTAAAAGGAAAAACGTTGAGACTGGTTCAACAAATGCAATGCTTTTTATCTTTAGTAGTACGTATGAAGAATCAAGTTAGCTACCCAGACGATTTTTCCCTGTTAGCTACTGAAAGCTAGTGATAGTGATGAACAAGCTAGGCATATCTGAAACATCGCCATCTCCTGGCTGCTTTTACCCGCCAGATTCAACAGCTTGAAAACCCCCCAACAGCTTGAAAACTCTCCCAAAAGCTTGAAAACCTCCCCAACAGCTTGAAAACCCTCCCAACAGCTTGAAAACCCTCCCAACAGCTTGAAAACCTCCACAATAGCTTGAAAACCTCCCCAACAGCTTGAGAAAAAAATAAAAAAGCTTGAAAACTAAAACTGAACATAATACATTAAGGGTTTAATTATATTTTAGTTAGTTTTGGAGTCAAAGATAATAGTTTCGGTGTAGTTTCAGTTTTTCAAACATATTTGTTAATTCATTTTTTTCATAATTATTTTTCATTTTAGTTTCAGTTTTAGTTTACTATAATAACTCTGCTCCACACACACACACACACACACACACACACACACACACACACACACACACACACACACACACACACACACACACACACACACACACAGACACACAACCATCCCCCAACACCCCTCACACACACACAGACACACAACCATCCCCCAACACCCCTCACACACACACAGACACACAACCATCCCCCAACACCCCTCACACACACACAGACACACAACCATCCCCCAACACCCCTCACACACACACAGACAGATACACACACACTCCTCTGCCCCCTATCGTAGGAGCTGCCTGGAAGTCGATCAATATTAATTTGCTGAGGATGTAAAGGCAACACCGTCCTGCCCCAGACAAACAGACAGACAGCATGTCGTTGGTAGCTGGGAGCTGAGGGATGACTGGCGGCAGCAGCAACAGCTGTTGGCCATTTAATTCACATAAATTTAGGCGAGCCAAATTGAGTCATGTGATCATGTGATCATGTGATAACTGGAAATATATGGTGATCCTTGAGCTCTTCATTAAAAAGCGGTATACTTTGTTATCGACGAGAGCCTTTGGTTGTAGCAGTGCTCAGTACTTTGATTGGTTTGTGGTGGTAAACTGTGATTTGATTGGCTGTGTGTCTAAGTCTGGTAGACCCCTTAATTCACTGCAGGGAATTCTGGGTCGATCTAAGTTGAACACGTCTCCATAGAGAGAGGGAGAATGAGAGAAAGCGAGGAGCGAGGTAGAGGGTGTGGTGTCAGTCATAACATTATTAAGCACTAAAAAGCCAGACGCAGTAGGGGATTGGCCCAGATTACTGTCATGGTGCTGGCACTTCGTAATTCATCACATCCTCACCTCTCCCCTCCTAAGTCCTTGCTCACGTTAAATCATTGTCTGCTTCTTTTTCCTCCTTTCTCACTCTCTCTTCACAGACGCAGGCAAGGGGGCAGGGCACGTATGCACGCACGTATGCACTAGCTCACAGCCACACACACACAGGTTGCAGGGGGTGCCATGGTGTGAAGCAGCCTGCATGCAGCCCCTGCAGGTTCAGAGATAAGATAGCAGACTAATGTTTGAATGACATGAATGCTAAATTAAAAAAACCAGTTGAGAACAAGTTCTCATTTACAACTGCGACCTGGCCAAGATAAAGCAAAGCAGTGCGATAAAAACAACAACACAGAGTTACATATGGGGTAAAACAAAACAAAGTCAAAAATACAACAGAAATACATATATATACAGTGTGTGCAAATGTAGCAAGTTATGGAGGTAAGGCAATAAATAGGCTATAGTGCAAAATAATTACAATTAGTATTAACAATGGAATGATAGATGTGCAAGAGATGATGTGCAAATAGAGATACTGGGGTACAAATGAGCAAAATAAATAACAATATAGGGATGAGGTAGTTGGGCGGGCTAATTTCAGATGGGCTGTGTACAGGTGCAGTGATCGGTAAGGTGCTCTGACAACTGATGCTTAAAGTTAGTGAGGGAGATAAGTGTCTCCAGCTTCAGAGATTTTTGCAATTTGTTCCAGTCATTGGCAGCAGAGAACTGGAAGGAATGGCGGCCAAAGGAGGTGTTGGCTTTGGGGATGACCAGTGAGATATACCTGCTGGAGCGCAGACTACGGGTGGGTGTTGCTATGGTGACCAATGAGCTAAGATAAGGCGGGGATTTGCCTAGCAGTGATTTATAGATGGCCTGGAGCCAGTGGGTTTGGCGACGAATATGTAGTGAGGACCAGCCAACAAGTGCGTACAGGTCACAGTGGTGGGTAGTATATGGGGCTTTGGAGACAAAACGGATGGCACTGTGATAGACTACATCCAATTTGCTGAGTAGAGTGTTGGAGGCTATTTTGTAAATGACATCGCCGAAGTCAAGGATCGGTAGGATAGTCAGTTTTACGAGGGCATGTTTGGCAGCATGAGGGAAGGAGGCTTTGTTGCGAAATAGGAAACCGATTCTAGATTTAACTTTGGATTGGAGATTCTTAATGTGAGTCTGGAAGGAGAGTTTACAGTCTAACCAGACACCTAGATATTTGTAGTTGTCCACATACTCTAGGTCAGACCCGTCGAGAGTAGTGATTCTAGTCGGGTGGGCGGGTGCAAGCAGCGTTCGGTTGAAGAGCATGCATTTAGTTTTACTAGTGTTTAAGAGCAGTTGGAGGATACTGAAGGAGTGTTGTATGGCATTGAAGCTCGTTTGGAGGTTTGTTAACACAGTGTCCAATGAAGGGCCAGATGTATACAAAATGGTGTCGTCTGCGTAGAGGTGGATCTGAGAGTCACCAGCAGCAAGAGCGACGTCATTGATATACACAGAGAAAAGAGTCGGCCCAAGAATTTAACCCTGTGGCACCCCCATAGAGACTGCCATAGGTCCAGACAACAGGCCCTCCGATTTGACACATTGAACTCTATCTGAGAAGTAGTTGGTGAACCAGGCGAGGCAGTCATTTGAGAAACCAAGGCTATTTAGTCTGCCAATAAGAATGCGGTGGTTGACAGAGTCGAAAGCCTTGGCCAGGTCAATGAAAACGGCTGCACAGTACTGTCTATTATCGATCGCGGTTATAATATTGTTTAGGACCTTGAGCGTGGCTGAAGTGCACCCATGACCAGCTCGGCAAACCGGATTGCATAGCGGAGAAGGTACGGTGGGATTCGAAATGGTCGGTGATCTGTTTGTTGACTTGGCTTTCAAAAACTTTTGAAAGGCAGGGCAGGATGGATATGGGTCTGTAACAGTTTGGATCTAGAGTGTCACCCCCTTTGAAGAGGGGGATGACCGCGGCAGCTTTCCAATCTCTGGGGATCTCAGATGTTACGAAAGAGAGATTGAACAGGCTAGTAATAGGGGTTGCGACAATTTCGGCGGCTAGTTTTAGAAAGAAAGGGTCCAGATTGTCTAGCCCAGATGATTTGTAGGGGTGTTCAGAAAGAACTTGGCACGTGACAGTGCTGCTGTCAGAATTTGTCCTTCAGGCAGTAGCATACACAATAGATGGAAACAATGATGTACAGTATTGTAGTGACAGCCAACACCCCTTGAGGGGTTCGAACTCCAGACCGTAGACAAACTTGCTAACCACTGTTCCAATAGGGTTAATCCACTTGGGGGAGATGGTAACCAGTCTACCAAGGCAAGGGTTGCTACAGTATGTTGTGTATAACTAATGAATGAAGGCACATTTGACAAGAAATGTAACATTTATTCCAAGGCAAGGAGTCTGTTCTGTTCCCACCAAAGATGCCAGTTAGAAGGGCAGCAGCCTAGTTGATATCACTGGTTGTGTCGCAAATGCCACCATATTCGCTATACACAGTGCACTACTCCAGAGACCTACGGGACCTGGTCAAAAGTAGTGCACTATAAAGGAAATAGGGTGTGGGAGGATGCATCTCACAGTAAGTACTAGTTAGGTAGATTCATGCTGACAACCAGAGGTAGTGGGTCTCTCTGAAAAAGACGTACTGCAGTGTCACCCCAGCAGACACTATATGTGTCCCAAATGGCACCCTATTCTCTATATATAGTTCACTACTTTTGACCAGAGCTCTATAGGATTCCCTGTGGGCCCTGGTCAAAAGTAGTGCACTATACAGGGATTAGAGTGCCATTTGGGACATAAAAGTGTTTAGCTCTGTATGGCTTTGCTCTCAATGTCATTCTGTTGAATTACAGGATTAGG